ACTCCCGTGCCAGTGAACTAGGCTTTGAAGAAATGTGTATGAGACAAACTTTGCCGTCCTGGGCTGTGGGACAAGAAAAAGGTGTGGTACAGTTAAAATCGGTAATGACTCGCCTTTGCGATGTCTGTCATGTCCTTCCGCGGAAAGGGTGAAATAGTCCGTGGTGCCCGGTCTCGTAGCACGTGACTTGAAGGGGGCGGATGGGGGGTGGAGAGGGAAATAGGGAGGAGCTGGGGAGACGACTGTCAGGCTTCGTTTCAGCTGTCCCCACCCCCACATCCTGCCCACCCTTCTGCAGCTGCCACCACATCCTGCCCAGCCACCGGGGGCAGAGAACTAGTGTGTGTGGGGGCACTGACCGAGGACCCGGCTTTGGTACCCTTCCCTGCCCCCTTCAGTTCCAGGGTGGAGTCTTTGCCCTTTGCTCCAAGCCTGGCCCAGGAACCCTGGCGCTGAACTCGGGGCATAGCTCTGCCAGCAGGGCCTTGGACCTCTCTGCCTGAGTATGCCACCTGGCCTCCCCTTGTCCCAGAGTGGGACTTGTCTAGAACTTGTCCATTTCTGGGCTCGCATAGCTAATAAACGTGGGCTGATAGAGGTGGTCAATGAAGTTTCATAAGTTCCCACATCTACAGATTTATGTAATAGACAGTTGTCAAGTGTGTCCCCTGTCAGACCCTGAAGACCCAAAGTTGAATTAAACTGCCACCTTTAAGAAACTCAGGATCTCTAGAAGAGTAAATGAGGAGTCAAAAATGTCAGAGCAATCTGATGTGCAGCCATTAGGTAGATACACAGAGTAAGGACAAGGATGCTATACACAAGTAGAGGCTCAGGAGGACACATAGTTCCCATGGAGAATGTATGCACAGACAGGGCCAGTACATGTACTTCCATCACAAAGATAAGGGATGTGGGCAAAGATGGGATCCTCTGTTGGGATCCCTAGAAAACTGGAGGAGGAATAATCAGCACAATGGAAGCAATGAGCTGGATAGATGTGAGGGGTTGGACTTTGTCTTACCGCTGTGTTAGGGTGGGAAGGGTTGACCAAGCAGTGAGAGACTAGAACCGCAGTAAAGTTTGAAACAACAAAGTTTGAAACAACAGGAAGGGAGAGAAGCAGCCCTTGGGGATAAGGAAGATCACCTTTCCAAATTAAGACTAGGGATGCCTGGGGAGGTGTGAAGGAAAGGAGCTGTTGATGCCCCTTTGATCTAGAAACTTATGAAGATGACACTGTAAAGGAGTTTACACGCATGCTTTAGGACTTTGGTGGGCATTTGATGCCATGTGGATTTTATTTTATTTATTTTTAAAATATTTATTTATTTGTTTATTTATACATACAAGAACTGAGGTACAGGTCAGAGGTGTGGTGGATGAGAGCATCCACCAGAGACAGATTCAGCAGAACAGACAGATCACTGAAATACACTGCCGAGGGGAGCAGCAGGCAGGTCAGGAGAGTCTGCCACATGCCATGTGGGCCACCTTCCTGGCCGATTTGAACTCGTGCATAGTGGTTATGGATGGCTTCTTAGTGCTGCGCTTTAACCTGTTGTGCCACCAGGAAGGGCCTGCCTAGGAAATTTTATATCAACTTTGGACTGTTAAATGAACTTTCTCTAGGAAAAATGGATCAGTGTCAGAGGGGAAGAAGAAAAAAAATGAGATCCAGGCTGCTCAGCCTACTCAGGCATTTTTACCTAGAGGATCTTGGATGGGTGGTCCAGGGGTTAGAATAAAAAGATGTGAGTCACTTTCAGAAAGTATTTATTCTGATCCAATGTCTAGCAACATTACTTCCTAGAGCCTTATCATCAGAAGTAATGGAGACCTCAGGTTTGTTATTTTTTCTTGTTATTTTCACGAAGGTGCCCTCCCCAACTCCCAGCATGTATGTGTATGTGCTATCCCTCTTGTAATGTCAACCTGTCGTACTCACTCCTATAGTGATCTCTAGTGAATTATCATTTCAGCATCTCAGGGTCCAGGATACTCCACCTTCACAATTGAGGTCTTCCCTCCTTTCTCCCTCCTGCTCCTAGCCCTTTAACACCCTCCCAGGTGACTCACCTTCCTTCCTCATTCCTTTGTTAAGGACCCAACATTCCAAGTCAGGAAGGACCCGCCAGCCAATCACAGCCCTGGCAAGCCTACCCCCAGCTTGAGATTGGTTGGAGCTGTGGTTGGCGGGAGGCTCACCACGCAGATCTTATAGATGGTTGAGGAGGGGGTTTCTGAGAGTCAGCTCTGGGAAAGAATCTGTTCTAGCGATGCTTACATGTTTTTTGTTTGTTTGTTTTTAGATATCCCTCAAGTAGAATTAGGGCCAGAGGAGTTTCTGATTTAGAGACCCTCAAAGTGGAGTCAGCCTGAGTACCCATCTTTCCATCTCCAGGGGGCTTAGCTACCCTCTACCCACTTTGATTTTTTTCTAGGATCTGAGACCTAATGGTCTGAAGGCTGAGTTCCCAGGCCTGTTCCTAAGAAGTCTTTTCCAGCAGCCCTGGATCTCTCCAGTCTCAACATTCTGCTTTCCCGACGTCGGAAACAGCCAGAAAATAAACACCCTGATGACTAAACGGTTTCTCCAGCTAGAGCCTGGGGAAGCACTAAAAATAGAGGCCACAAGTGAGGGGAGGTTCCCCACTTGAGGGGGGGCACTTTCCCATCCTGGTATACTGCCATAGCCCCAGGACTGGCACAAGGCTCTGTTCTTCTCAGAGTCCTTGGGGACAGGGCAGATGGGCTCCCTCTGTCTACAGTGACATCCTCTGGGCTAGCTAGCCCTGCCTGGCAAGGGAGACTGACATGTTCTGGTACCAGACCAGGTGGGGAACTGAGAAGCTACATTTGGGGACAAAGTAGGACACTTTAAATTAGGTTTTCTGTAGGAGGGGTCAGGTGGGAAAGTTGGAAACAGGGGCCAAGGAAATAGGATCCTGCTAGCCTCTGGTCTTAGGATACCCAAGGTAAGCCTCCACACTATTTGCAGAGTAATGCTGCTGAAATTGCCTCCTTTGAAGTTTGTATGGGAGAGTGTGCCTATAGGGGTCTTTTATTCTGGCCCTTGAGCTAGTATGATGCAGGGCAAGGCACTGTTTTAGAACCTACTTGTATGAACTAATTTAATCTTCACCCCAAATTTATGAGTAATCTACTAACATCACCATTTCTATTTTTCCCATGAGTATCCTGAAGTCCAGGGGAGTTAATGTGCCTGAAATCACAGTTGATAAATGGTGAATGAGGACTTGAACCAAGGCAGCTTGACCACTCCAAAGTGGATTCTTATCACCAAGACTGCCTTTTTCTGTTTTTATCAGTGTCTTTAGCAGTTCACCCAAAATCCAGTCTCTATCTGGTAAATCAGACACCGACAGAAATCATGGTGTGTGAAGAACTGAGTGCTCTTCTGTTCTGCAAGGTTCTTTGCTATCTAAGCAAGATCCCATTGTTTCCTCAAGCTCCAAGTAAGGTAGAAAGCAAGCAGGACTTGGAGGTTATAGCAACTCTGGAGAGGAAGTCTGAAGGGGCAGTTGTCCAGTAAGCATGACACCCACACTCCTGTTGTAGGGCACGGAAAGATTCACCACACCCTGGGGCAACCAGGAATTTCTAATTTTTATTATAAATTTTTAAAGAGCTACTACTACTTCTTTAATAGGATGCTTTGGGGCGTTTCCAGTGCTGGGGGAAATTAGGATCCCGCCCCTTTAAATTGCCCCCCTCAGCTGTAAGTGCTCTGGGGCCCACAGGCGCTAGGGATTAGGTCACCCAAGAACTATGAGCTGTCGCTTTAAATTGCCGGGCGTCTGCCGAACCGGGCCCTACGAGGGGGACTGTCACAGGTAGAGGAAGCAAACGAGCTCCCCAGGTAACCCCCCACCCCCCACCCGGCCCAAGAACTTGCCCCTTTAAGTGGGGCGACGACGACACACTTAAGTGTGGGAGATGGAATCTTCAAACAGTTACCGGCTACCCTTAGTTTATCTACTTAAGTCGCCCACCTCCCAAGTCCCCTGGGGCTTGGGGCGAGGCGGACAGCTGTCGAGGTGGCCTGAGTGTGTGAGAGTGGGAGCGCGGCCCGCGGAGCCTCCCGGAAAAGACCTCCTCGAGCGCATGGTGGCAGCAGTACTAGGCAGCCGTCCGGCGAGCTCGCAGAGGGCACTGCCGGCGCGGGCCGCTTCCCCTAAAGGCCTCTGGATCTCGGCACCCTACTTTGCCTCGCTCAGGCCCTTTCTCCCTCCCTCCGGGCTGGCGGAGGGATCCACGGTTCGCGGTGCTGCAGCCTAGCTTGGAAGGGCGGTGGGGTGGGGGCCGGCCCGGCCCGGCCCGGACGGCCCAAGGAAGGCGAGGGGCGGGGCCCCGTCCCCGGTACCGCCCCTGCCACGGCCCCGCCCCTCCGCCCCCACGGGTTCCTCCCATTGGCCCCCCGCCTGTCCATCAGCTCCCGTTTCCCCCACCCCTCAAGCTAGGCTGAGCTGTGCCTACGTCGGCCTCGACTCCCGGGGGCTGGAGGAGTTACCTTTGGAGCCCGAAAGGAGGAAGGAAGCAAAATATCAACAACAGCCGAGGCGGCTCGGGCACTCGGCCCCGGTCCCCTTCCTGCCCGCCGCCCGCCTGCCTACCTCCGCGCCCAGGACGGGGGCCCAGGCCCCCAGGCGCCGCCCAGGGCCCGCGCGGACGCCGGCCTCATTTATTATTCCCCGCGCCGGGAGCCGCGGCTTCCCGGTGTTGAAGATCTCCCGGAGTAGGGGCGAGGGCTCCCCCTCCCAGTCGTGACATCCCCCCTTTTCCCAGCGTGGCGGGTGAGTAGAGAAAAATAAAGCGCCTGCCGCTTTAAGAGGCCCCCTCCCCCACCCCGTCCTGGGTTGGGGTGGAGGGTGGTCTAGACCGTCCCCCTGAGGGGTGGGATGGGGTGGCCTCCCCGGCTGGGAGGAACTCGCGGAGCGGGCTGTGTTTTCGCGTGGCGCTGGTGGGAGATTACATGGGGACTGTTTGTGCTAGGGAGTGTGCCGTGGGGGACAAGTGGAGTGGGCTGTAATTCTCTTGGGTGTTGGGGTCAGGGTGGGGACCGGCGCCTTGGGGGCGCGCCCGGCTGTTGGTGTCCAGGGGTTACGGCAGCCTCCGAGTGATCTGGGAAGGGGCGCCATCCTCAGAGGGGGTCTCCGGTGACAGCCGGGAGCGACTGACATTTTAACAGCCGGCCCTCCCTCCCTCTCCTCCTCGCGCCGCCTGTTCCCTCCTCCTTGGCCCGAAATGGTGCAGA